AAAACTAATCGCTAGAACCTGTGAGAGTTACCTTATATGGCAAAAAGAGTTTTGCAGATGTGATTAAATTAAGGATCTTTTGATGGGAAGATTATCCTGAATTATCTGGGTGGGCCTCAGATGGAATCACAACCATGTTTATATGAGAGAGGCGGATTTTACATAGAAGGCAGAAGGCGATACGAGAATGGAAGCAGAGAGATTGGAAAGTGCTACACGGCTGGCTTTCAAGGTGGAGGATGGGGCAATAGATAGGGCAAGGAATGAAGTTCTAGAAGCTGGAAGAGGCAAGGAAACAGACTTTCCTGGAGCCTCCTGAGGGAGCAGGGAGCACTGCCTTGTCATTACCTCGATTTAGCCCCATAAGGCTCAATTCAGATTTGTGGCCTCCAGAACTGTGAAATGATAAACTAATGTTTTAAGCCATCGGGCTGGTGGTGATGTATTACAGCCGCTGTGGGAAGCTGACACAATGACACCAGCAGAAACAGACTCTCACTCACAGCATGTCATTCATGGTCCAGTCAGGAGGTAGGAACCACCCAGGTGAATGAGAGTATGAATGAGAGCTCTCATTCTCTCATACTCTCACCAGGAGGTAGGAACCACCCAGGTGAATGAGAGTATGAATGAGTGTATGAATGAGAGAGGTGAATGAGAGCTCTAAAGTAAAGCTGAAACAGTTAAAAGACATCACGGGTCATTGCACCCCACCGCCCCGCCCGTGTCCATGGAGAGAGGCTGAGGCTGCTGAGCTCTAGGCTGTGAGCAAGAGGAAGCTGCAGCCCACCTAAGCCGCCCTCACCCTAACACCTTCAGCAGTAAACAAGATAAAACAGCTCCTTAAAGATAAGCCTGAGCAAGGAGGTGTGAAAGTTGGTGTCCGAAGCAGAGGCTATAATGGCCTTTCTTACACCCTAGAATATACAAAAGCAAAAGGAGATTCTGATGAAGAAGTTGTTCAGGATAGAGTCAGAGTGTTCATCGAAAAGAAAGCACAACTAACACTTTTAGGAATAGAAATGGACTATGTTTAAGACAAATTATCCAGTGAGTTTGTGTTCAATAACCCAAACATCAAAGGAACTTGTGGCTGTGGGGAAAGCTTTAATATCTGAAACCTCAGGACTCTCTGGCTATGAGCTCCAGGAACACTTACAGACGCCTTGGGGCTTACTGAAGAAATCATGTGACTGTCGCCTGTTTAATGTGTGTCGCCTGTTTCTCACTTTGTAAGAAAATAAAGTGATGCATTTTGAAAACGAAGCCAAGTGTGTTAGATTCAGGAAGAAGTGATATTTGAATTCTCTGTAGGGGACAGAAAAGGAAGTACCATAACCCTCTTTGTTGGATATTTTTCTTTTCTTGTAAAGAGAAAAATCCTACCCTTCACTTAACTCTCTTGGATCCTTTCTTTTAGAACCAGTTTCATTAAAAAGGATTGGATCTCTAAAAAAATAAATAAATAAAAGAAATCACGGATGTGGCAAGTGCAGCTTCCAGCCATTGGACTAAGGGAACAAAGTGGAGAAGTTGCAGTTATTCATTTAGGGATGAAGAGGCGGAGCCCACATATTGGCCACGCAGACCTATGAGAGAGGGGGTGCTGCGCAGAGGGTATGGTGTGTGTGGGGTGAGGCAGCAAGTGTTGGGAAAACTGCAGACGGGATGCAGCTGCTGCCACACGAAGAAGTGCTGCTGGGATAGTGCTCCCCGAAACTGGAAGGCGACCTGAAGGAGCCTCTTGCCTCGCAGTCTCCCCAACTCTCCCTGTGGCAGAGCTTAGCGTGGAGCAGGCCCAGTGCCAGAGCATGGTGTGCCAGAGGGTGGGCATGGGCCGGGAGGCAGAAACTCAACACTAGCACATGCAGGCTCATTCCAGAAGTTTGGAGGATTTTCTGTTTATTTGGACTTTAATACAATTTTGGTTAGATAATACTCTGCTATTTATTCAGACTTGTTTTATGACCCACCTTATAGTCTTTTTTGGCACATATTTCAGTGCAGCTTTTAGAGTATTCAGTAAATGCTAATTAGGTCAAGTTGGTTGATGGTGTTATCGAAACATACATATTTTCTCATTTTTGTCTACTTGTTTCCTCAGTTACTGAGAGGCATGTGCTAAAGCTTCAACTATAAGGTGGCTTTGTCTCTCTTTTTCCCTTTAGTTCTGTCAATCTTCACTTCTTATATTTTGAAGCACTGTTGTGTTTTTTTTGTTGTTTTGTTTTGTTTTTGTTTTGAGACAGAGTCTCACTTTGTTGCCCAGGCTAGAGTGAGTGCCATGGCGTCAGCCTAGCTCACAGCAACCTCAAACTCCTGGGGCTCACAGCAACCTCAAACTCCTGGGCTCAAGCAATCCTGCTGCCTCAGCCTCCCGAGTAGCTGGGACTACAGGCATACACCACCATGCCCGGCTAATCTTTTCTCTATATATTAGTTGGCCAATTAATTTCTTTCAATTTATAGTAGAGACAGGTTCTCGCTCTTGCTCAGGCTGGTTTCGAACTCCTGACCTCGAGCAATCCATCCGCCTCGGCCTCCCAGAGTGCTAGGATTACAGGTGTGAGCCACCGCGCCCGGCCAGCACTGTTGTTATTAGATGCACATATTTAAGAATTGTTTTTATCTATATTTTTCAAAACAGCTATTCCCTGAGCCCGCCCTGGGAAGGCATCCCCAGCGCCGAGGCTGCTGCACGTGGGTGGCTTGGTGGCTCCTGAGAGGTACAGGCCACACTTTCCACACAGAAAACCTGAGGTGATACTCTCAACCTCAAATCCCACAGTGCCAGATCTTCTGTGGCTCTGTGGCACTAGCACAGACTTGGGAGCCACACAGACTCAGTTCTGCCTGCCAACCTAGTCCCTCAATAGCTGATTCTTGAGGGACTCCATTTTCCTTTTCTTGAACTGAAGATGGTAGCCCCTGACCTCAAGAGCATTACTCAAGATCAAACATGACTGTGGGTGAAAAGTGCCCAGTGCACATCCGCAGCACAGAGGTGCTATGAGTCTGTTTCCCACCCTGGCCTGCCCTTCCTGTCTTACACAGGGTCTGCCACCTGGCTGCGTAGATGTCAGCAGCCATAGTGTCTCTTCCTAACTTACCCAGAAAAGGTTCCTGAGGAGGCATGGCCCTCCTGTCATCTCCCCCTGGCCTCCCTGTCCTCTCCACTGAGCCTGGCACCTCCTGCTCCTCCCCTGTATCAACAGAAACACCCCCAAACCCACATTTGGGAGGAGGAGATGGTCATAGGCCCCTGATGACAGGTGCTGTCAGGCGTTTGCCAAAGTCCCACCTTCAGCCTTTTGAGTTCAGGCACCAGAGTTTTCTTGTCGCCAGAGGTGGACTCACTAAAGGTCAATTCTGACAATCCACGGTGGGAGATGAATGAGGCTGACATCACCACCACTACCCCACTGGTCCTGACATAAGTGGAAAGGGAGGTTTCTTAGGGAGAGTTGGGTAGCTGACGGAACCAGAAAGACTGGTCGGACCAGAACTGTGCCCTGTGGATCTGTCCCTTGTGTGTCAGCATCTGGCTTTCTCTGCTCTGTGGGCTGCCCTGCAGATCAGCAGACATTGCCACAGCAGCTCCAGGCTTGGAATGTTCCAGCTTAGCACCACAGGTGAAAGAGGGCTTCTCCCCCTCAGCTTTGCCATATAAAGAAGGGTTCTGATGTAAAAAGGGACTCTGATTGGTTCATCTTGAGTGACAGAGCCATCCTTGGATTCATTTATTTGGTCAAGGATATGAGAGCTACTGCAATTGGCCAGGCCTGAATCACATGCCACAAAATCAGGGTATTACTATTGTCTGCCCTGCCAGAACCACATGGAATTTCAGAATGGGAGTGGGGAGCATGAATAGTGAGGCTCTTACCCCAAAAAAGAGGTGGGGTTCTGGGTAACAGAAACAGTGGCCATCACCTCTTGTTCTCTCCAAGTCATTCCCTGGCCGGTGTTTTGTGCCTGCCAAATCACCTGGGACATCTTGGGTAGCTTGACAGGCATGGGCACCAGTCTCAGGGAGGAAGGCCATGCTGTATGTCCCAAGGAGGGTCTTTGGGCTCCGGGCAGGGCGAGTGGGGTACCCCTGCTCATGGTAGAAGATACTCCAGGGGGTAGAGTCTGGCATCTGAGGCCTGGCCCTGAGCTTAGACACAGGCTGCTTTCTTACTAGCTTTAGGACCTTGGGCAAATTACTTACCCTTCCAGAGCCTCTGTTTTTTCTCCTATAAAAATGGGTAATTTTGGTGAGTCTGTGACTTATTTATTTTTGAGACAGAATCTCTCTCCATTGCCTGGGCTAGATTGTGGTAGCAGCAGCCTAGCTCACAGCAAGCTCAGACTCTAGGGCTCAAGCGATCCTCCTGCCTCAGCCTCCCAAGTAGCTGGGACTATGGGCACGTGTCACCACACCTGGCTAATCTTTTCTATTTTTAGTAGAGACAGGGTCTCACTCTTGCTCAGGCTGGTCTCAAACTCCTGAGCTCAGGTGATCCTCCCTCCTCGGACTCCCAGAGTGCTAGGATTACAGGCATGAACCACTGCGCCTGGCTGAGTCCATGACATTTTGTCCTGTTAAATTTCAGTAATTGCTCATTATTCTCTCTGTGATGGGATTGTCCCTGTCCACCACTCCGTTCATAACAGCCTGGGAGTCTTGTCTTGTTATGTGCTGATTTCCTTAGACCAGCTCTTCACGTCTGGGCCCCTCGCTTGGGCCTGGTACCAGCTGGTATTCTCATGGGACAAACCGACCCTTAGTTGGTTTCTAGAGACATCAGTGAGTTGTCCATGAGGACAATTACCAGAGGGATACAGATGACATTGGAGCAAGAGGGCAGCCCGGGAACCTTGGGAAGTGGGCAAACTGTTGCTCTGACCTTGCAAGGCAGTACCTCTCTGTCAGGTTTCATGCAAAGTATGCAGCTAAGAAAATGTGAACTGAATTTTGGAGCTCAGTCTTCTGCCTGTTTTTTTCTGGACTGTAGGAGGAGTGGAGCCAAAGAGAAATTGTGAGCGTGGCAATGGCTCAAGCCCTGGAGGAGGTGCGGAAGCAAAGGGAAGAGTTCCAGCAACAGGTGGGCCCCGTTTGGTGCTGAGCGGTGATGCTCCCTGACCAGCCCCCATCTTGCTGTGGGACTGCTGCGGCCCCCGCTGTCCAGGGTAGGGGGCAGACAACGGGTCTCAGGGAATGCAGTCGCCTGTGTGGTGCCCCTCTGGTCTTTAGGAAGGTGGGAGAAAAATGTTTTAAAGAAATCCTCACCCCATAGGATGTCTTTTTCTAATACTTGATGGTCAGGTTTAGTTCTAAACATTACCTGGAAAAAGAGTCCATGCCTAGGCACCTACTGGCTCTAATTCTGTGAGGTGGCCCAACACTGCCTCATGTCCCAAAGGCTACAGCAGTTTGGGTTGAGCTCTCAGCAGGAAGTGTGGGAAATGCCTCCTTTGAAGACAGTCTTAGCATCTGGCCCCAGACCTCCTAGTTAACTGGCTCTAGGCTTTTGGTAAGATTTTAAGTCCTTAAAATCTGAGTCTCAGTGTCTCCTCTGCTAAGGATGCTAGTCCTTCTAATCACACGTCCGGGATACTGGAGTGAGGTAATGTATATCAGACGCCACCAGAGCTGGGCACATCACAGACATTCAGGAAGTGGAAATCATGGTTATGACAGCTTGTTGGAAGGTTGGGCAGAATGGCCACATCTCTGGTTGGGCCACTGTTTGCTGGGGGTGGCCAGTGAGAGGCAGTTGCCCCTGTGCAGGGACCTTGTCAAGGAAAATGGACTTGAGCTTGTTCATGGAAGCAGAGCTTAGCATGGGGCTTGTTCTGGGCTGTGTTCTTCAGGGAGGGATTCATGGTGGACCTTGGGTGGTGGAAAAGTAGAGATTCCTATGGGGGGACTTAGGGTCACTGCTGCCAACCTTCTTTCGTGTTGATTTTTCTCCCCAAGGCTGCCAACCTGACAGCCATGATAGAGGAGAAGGAGCAGAGTCTACAGGAAAAAGCTGAAGTCCTTCTCCAGAAAGAGCAGGAGATTCTCCAACTAGAGCAGGGTGAGAAGTCTCCTCCGGGCTGGGCCTTCTCTCATTTTTCTGCCCAGTGATAGCCATGTCACCAAGCAGTGTGGAGTCACTGGGCTCATGGTGCACACCTCCCCTCTGCCCGACCTAGGTCACAACTCAGCCCTGCTGCAGATACGCCAGCTGCAGGGTGAGCTGGAGGCCCTGCAGAGCCTGAGGGTGGAAGAGGCTACAGCAGCCTCGGAACAGGACCTGCTTAGGCTGCAGGGCCCGGAGCGGGGCGAGACGCTGCCAGCCAGTGGGCCAAACGTAAGTCCTAGCTGTGCCTGTGTGGGTGCTGCAGCAGGGCACAGGGTGATGCTGTGAGTTGCCCGGGAGGTGGCAGTGGGGAGACAGTGAGGGGGGCACTCCCCTACGCTGTAGTGTCCTTTTCTTTTAACATGGGGATGCTCAATTAGCTAGGAGGTCATGAGGCCTGAAGGGCCCATGGTAGGTGGCAGTGCCTGTCAGTGTGCAGAGGGAAAGAAAGCCTGTTGGCCTGAGCAAAGGGTAGTCGCGTGGAAAGCTAACTGTCCTTCTGGAAGGCAGTGGCGGGATCATCTTCTCCATCATTTGGGTTTGGCTCCCGGCCAGCTGCCTGTGGGCGCAGACCAGGCCACACCTGTGGGCCAGCTGGCTCCCCTTCCCCATGCAGCTTCAGCATTACCTATCCTGGCTCTCAACTTGCTGCCACCATCCTGTAGGTGACCTCAAAGGCCTTGTACCAGCTCCCAGCAGCAGGAGGAACACCAAATGGGGAGGTTGAGGCCATGGATCTAGGACAGCTACAGAAGGAAAAACAGGACTTAGAGCAGCAACTTGCAGAGAAAAATAAGGTGAGCATGCCCTGAGCCTTGGTTGTTTCTGTCTCCACTCTGTCCCCGCCCTGGTGCCTGAAATGTCTCATTTCATCTCGGAAGGTTTTGCTAGTGCCCTGGCAGCTCTCAGGAGATGTCACCTCCTTCAGCAAAAGAGCTCCCTCCTCAATTTCCTCTGCCATTTGCCTCTTGCATTGTCTTCCTTTTACATCCTCCCCACCTGCCACATCCTCCTCTTCTCCCACCCCCTTGAGATTCATGTGTCAGAGCTTGAGCAACTGAAAGTCCAGGTGTTCCCTGCCAGCTCTGCTGTCCTCAGCTGGGCCATAGGAATAGTCCTCTCACCTCTGCACTTCCTTTCTACAGCTTTGGGATGATAGCACTGACACCTGCCTTTAAGGCTTTTTGCTTTTTTGCAGGGCGTGGTTGGGGGAAGGATGAAACAAAGGTCTTTGTTAACTCTCTTATAAACCTGCTATTTGATAGAGGCTCGATAAATGTCATGATCCCACCACACCCTGCACCTGGAAATTTGGAGTCTCATTTGATCCTCAGTGGTGTTTTGGTTTGGTTTGGTTTGGTTTGGTTTGGTTTGGTTTGGTTTGGTTTTAAGGCAGGGTCTTGCTCTGTCTCCCAGGCAGGAGTGCAGTGGCATCATCATAGCTCACTGCAACCTCAAACTCCTGGGCTCAAGGGATCCTCCTGCCTCAGCCTCCCAAGTAGCTAGGACTACAGGCGTAAGCCACCACACTTAGCTATTTTTGTTTGTTTTTTATAGAGACAGGATCTTGCTATGTTGCTCAGGCTAGTCTCGAACTCATGGCCTCAAGCAATCTTCCCACCTAGGCCTCTCAAAGTGCTGCGATTACAGGTGTGCGCCACCATGCCTGGCCCTTGATTCTGGTTTTTAAAGTGTTCTATGAAGCTTAGCCTGCTGGCTGGTTATTGCTCTGGCCTGAAATTCTGCCCCCAAATTGCATGTGTGTATTTTTTTTTTTTTTAGATCTTTAACAAAGGGAAAGGGTGTTCATTCTCTCTCTTTCTCTCTCTCTCTCATTTAATCTCTCAGTGTGAAATATAAAATACACACAGAAAAGCGTATAAAACAAATGTGTGGCTCAATGAATTAACAAAAAGCAAACACACACGGAACCAGCCTGGACAGACCTCGGGTCCTTGCCGGCATCCCGGCAGCCAGCCCGGCTCAGGCCCCACTCAGCTCCCATCACTCACTGCATCCTGATCTTATGGAGGGACTGCCTTGCTTTCTGTCTTGTTTTACCACCTCAGCTCACGTTCCTGAACACTAAAGTCTCCATTTGCCCATTTGTGATTTCATGTCTGCCCCACCAGGACCGTGTCTGTTGAGCCTCTGGCCTCTCTGGCCGTAGAGCCTTCCTGCCTCCCCATTCAGCTTGGTGTCCACACCGCGTCGTGATAACCCTGCCTTACTGGCACCCTCAGTTCTCTAGCCTCTCTCCCTCTCTTCAGACTGCCCTGGCCAAGCCCCAGCTCTGGTTAAACCCAACTCGTCCCTGCCCCATGCCTGTCGGGAGGATGCACAGTCACACTGGCATGTTTCCTGCAGTCCTGCCTCATTCTGTAGGCTGTGATGCTCCGCTGCTCTCGAGCTCTACTTCATATCTCCCTTCTCTTCTTTCAGCTTCAATCCTGCCTCTCCCACCCTCGCTCTCCCACTAACATCCTACTTCTCGGAGAAGAGACTTTCCACAGCCCCCGTTGCCAAGCCTTCCTGTGATATTGGCCAACTGCCCGCCCACCCTCTGTCCTTCTGTCCCACTCCTCCCACCCTCGAAGGAGCTCCGGCCACTTCCCCCTTATTCCCTGCGTCACTGTTTTTTCTTGGAGTCCTTCAGTCCACTTGCAAGCATAACCGCCATGAGCCCATCTAATAAAAGCACTTAGCTCTCATCCTCCTCCAGCTCCTGTGGCGTTTCTCTGCCCTCCTCCCACACTCTCATGTTGAAACTTTCTATATCTGTCGTCTCCATTTCCACCCCTCCTCGTCTCTCTCAACCCCATCCATTGGACTTCCCCACCCCCACCAAAGAAAGCTCTCATCGGGCTCTCAGTGACATCCACGGTGCTAAATCCAGAAGTTGGTTCCTCATTTTCCTTCAGATTGGCCTGTGGGCGGCGCTGGACAGATGTCTCTCCCTCTTGAAGCTCCTATCTGTGGCTTCCTCCTCCTCCCCCTCTTCCTCCTCATCCTCCTCTGGGCCAGCCTCCTTCCCACTCACTGGGGCTGTGGGCGGCAGGGTCCAGCCCTCGGACCGCATTGTGCTCACTCCTCAGCAGTCTCACCCGCACCCCTGTGCCCAGCCCAGACGGCTCCATGGACCGTCTCATGAATCTGTCCCCTGTGTCTCCATGTGAATGTCTAAGAGTCATCTGAAACTTTTTTTTTTTTTTTGAGACATAGTCTCACTTTGTTGCCCAGGCTAGAGTAAGTGCCGTGGCTTCAGCCTAGCTCACAGCAACCTCAATCTCCTGGGCTCAAGCAATCCTACTGCCTCAGCCTCTCGAGTAGCTGGGACTACAGGCATGCGCCACCATGCCCGGCTAATCTTTTCTCTATATATTAGTTGGCCAATTAATTTTTTTCTATTTATAGTAGAGACGGGGGTCTCGCTCTTGCTCAGGCTAGTTTCGAACTCCTGATCTCAAGCAATCCGCCCACCTCAGCCTCGGCCACGCTAGGATTACAGGCATGACCCACCGTGCCCGGCCCATTTGAAACTTAAAACCAACAAAACCACACTTCAGCTTTGCTGCGTTCACTGGCTTCCACGGCCACCTTCCCACCTCATAAATGGCAGAAACCTTGGAGTTGTCCCCACCTGCCTTGGTTCTTTCTCCACCAGCATCAAACTCTACCCAGAATCAACCACTTCTCACCACTGCCACCCACTGCAGGTTACCGTCAGCTCTTCTCTAGGAGGTGGCATTGGACTTCTCACTGGTCTGTCACTCCTCTGTCCCAGTCCCCTGATGACTTCCTAGCTCTTGATGTAAGCCAGAGTCCTTGTCGTAGCCTGCAAAGCCTGTGTGATCTGGCCCCATCACTACCCTTTCACCTCACCCTTCTGTCCCCATCACTCCCTTGCAGCCATGTGGGCCTCGCCTGTCTATGAACATGCCATGCACCCTCCCGCCTCAGTGCCTTTACACTTGCTGAGCCTTCTGTCTGGAAGGTTCTTCCCCCAATGACCCTGACTTCCTTTATGGTATCATTTTATCAGGGAGGCCTCCCCTGCCCCACCTAACCAACCTCCCCACCAGAACCCCTTCTCTCTGTGCCTCTTACCACCTTCTGATGTGCTGTGTCTTTATTGATTCTATTCCCTCCTGAGGGCAGAACTTTTTCTTTTTTGATTATTGCTGCTTCTCCAGCTCCTAGGACAGTGTCTGGCACATAGTAGGGACTCAATCAATAATTATTGAATGAACTAATGAATGAGCAAAACCCTCAGGAAACCAAGCAACATAAGATAAAATAGCAGATGTACTTTTGGGGCGATGTCCAGCCTCATGGTCAGCCAAGAAAATAAAGATGGAAACCACAGGGTGCCATTTTATAGAAGTCCTGTGGTGGAGGTAATTTAAAGTGCGTGCCTGGACAGGAGCTAGAAACACTTGTATGGGCCTCTGATGCAGTAATCTCACTGCCCCAGAGAAACAGTGGGATACCTCTCCTGAGGAAATACAGCTGAGTCCTTATTCCAGCTTTCTTTCAAAATGGAAACCCAGCCACAAGTAAGACAGGGGCACCCCCTGGAATACCTGTCACAGTAAATGTTATCAGTAGGACTGTAGAACGCTGTGAAACCTCTGATAAATGAAAATCGAGTATTCAAAATTCTAACTACTGAATGGTGATGTGGACTAGAAATACACAAGAAAAACTTATTTTGATGATATAGCTATGAGACTTTGGAGAACTTTTTATTTAAAATTTTTTCCTGGATCCAGATGATGATTCAGAAGCTAATAAAAAAAATGGTGCCTGGTACCACAACAGTGACAGAAACAAAAAAAAAAAAAAAATTTTTTTCCTGGAGCCAAGCCAGTCCCCACCCCAAGACCCTGTTACACTGGTGAATGAATGAACGAATACATAAATAAATGAATAATAAAAATTTTTCCCATATTGCTGATTATAAAAAGCTTTTAATTGGAAAAATATAGTTCAGCATTTCTAATGAAAAATGGAATGTGTCATAAATTACATTTAAGGCTCATAATATTAATTATATTCACTAATTTAAAAAAAAGAAAATAAGCCGGTCACAGTAGCACACACCTGTAGTCTCAGCTACTCAGGAGACTAAAGCAGAAAGATCACTTGAACCCAGGAGTTTGAGGCCAGCCTGGGCAACACAGGCCCCATCTAAAAAAAACAAAATCAAAATAAATAAAGGATAGCTTTTCGTAGTGGCAGTATTGTAGGCAGTGAGGTTTATCTGAGGTGCAATTATTGAAAGAAAGTTTTAAAAGTATAAAAAGAAAGAAAAGTAAAGGATATTAAACCCAGTGTTGGTAGGTTGTACAGAAAAATCATGACCTTTTACATTGCTCAAAATACGCATTGCTAACTACGGTATTTCAGAGAGCCACAGTGATAATGAGAACCACAAACTGTAGCCTGAGGATCCTACCTGGGGATCGCAGCACATAAATATAATTCAGAAGCACAAAACAGATTGTCCAGAGCCATTTCCAGCCAAGCTGTTTGTGGAGGTGGCCAGAAGCAGGCTGGACAACCAAGCCCATGGGAAGTCTCTGGGCAGCACTGGGGCATTCATCTCTTGCACAGAGGGACCGTGACCACTTGGTGGCCATTGTGGGACTTGGAAAGATAGCCCAACAAGTGGTAGTCACATGGGTGTGACAACTGAGCACAAACCTCTCAGGAGGACTTCTCAGGGCAAAGACCTCTCATAGGTGTACAGGGGGTGTGAGGGGCTATCTTTCTGTTCTGTTTCCTTTATACCTTAAAGACAGTGAAATGTGCATCTCACAATTGGCTTTTGGGGGGTTTGCCTTAGACTATAAAGCAGATGCAGCAGCGGATGCTGGAACTCAAAAAGACTCTGCAGAAGGAACTGGTGAGTGCCACGTGGTGTGCCAGCCCAGGCTCTCAGCCTGTCCCCTCTCCTCCCTGTGCCATCCCTCACTCTCTGTCCTTATGGGGTCCCTTGATGCCTAATGCTCCCCCACCCTTGATTGCAAGGGGTCCCTGGGAAGTCAGATGTTGGCTGGAGGGACAGTGGCCCTGCCAGCTTGAACATACCTCTGAGAAGTGGCTTTGTGACCATGGCCATGTGCCTGCCTTCTCTGAGCCTGGGTCCTCAGCTGAAAGAGGGGGTTGCTCTGCAGAGTCAGTGCAGTGACATTTGTACAGAACATGTGTGGCAGAGTGCTTGGCCCAGTGTGGGATGAGAGCAGCACCTCTGCTCCAGGCCACGGGACGTGTGTCCTTGACATGGATAAAGACACATCCGAATTTCCCCAAGTGACCCCACTCCCTCCTCTCAGCAGTCAACCCCACCTGGAGGGGCCGAGTTTCCTCAGACTCTTGGCATTTCCTTCCCATGTGGGGTCCTTTTTGCCTCACGATGGTAATCACAGCATGGGCCAGGTGAATCTCATGTGGTTTTTAGACGTTTCTGGAAGGGGTCAATCATCTTTCCCATTGGTTTTTCAGAAAATCAGACCCGATAATGAGCTTTTTGAAGTCCGGGACAAACCTGGACCTGAGATGCCAAACATGGCCCCTTCCGTCACGAATAACGCTGACCTGACTGATGCCCGAGAGATCAACTTCGAGTACCTTAAGCACGTGGTTCTAAAATTCATGTCCTGTCGTGAATCTGAGGTAAAGGGCTTACAGGCGCCTTTTGGGTATTGAGCTCCGCCCTGCAATCTGTCCCGAAGGGCCCCCACTTCTTTCTTCCTTACCCACATTCCCATTTGACCACCCATGTGGACACATGATCGCCGCCCTCTATCAGGCTGCTGATTGATTAGGGTGTGGGGGGGCGCCATGGAGGGAACTGGCTCCTGGTGGGAGACTGGGCTCCACTGCTAAATCCCAACTTGGATGCTGAGGCCAGAGGCCTGGAAACTGAACTTATCCAGCATCCCTGCATGCTTAGGAAGTTCTCTCAGTTCCTGCCAGTCCCTGAGGTAAAAGACGGAGGAAAAAAAAACTTGCTGTTGCTGTCAAACCTCTGGACAGCCAGAACCTTACCTACTAGCTGGTCCTTGCTAACCAAGGAAAACAGGAAATGCCCCAGCTCCCTGGCCCCACTCCCGCTCACCCCCACCAAGGCCCATGGCAGCAAAACTTAACTTTGTTTCAGGCTTTTCATCTTATAAAAGCTGTGTCAGTGTTGCTGAACTTTTCCCAAGAGGAAGAGAACATGCTCAAAGAAACCCTGGAATATAAGGTAGGGTTCTCCGGTTGCTGCTCTGGCTTCCAAACAAACAGAACAGCCCAGGGCATGCAGACGGCCCCTGCTGCACATTGGCGCAGCTGCTTTGGGTGGGTGTGGTCCACGCAGTATTTAGTGAGGATGTCCTCTGTGCCCAAGTGTCCATGCTGTACTTGACCAATAGGCCTTGTCATTTTCAAAGCATTTTCATTGATACCATTTTATCCATAGCCCTGGGTCTGGCCTAGCACCCAGACTTAAAAAAAAAAAATTCCTAAAGTATCTGCATAAATGCTAGAATAGGAAAATTACTTACAATTTCACTACCTGGTTCTTATCAACTCGTTTGTTTTTGGTTTTTGTTTTTTTCCCCTCTCATTTCCCTTCACTGCTTGGTATGGGCCTGTAGACTGGCTGCTGGAACCATCTTCAGTGCTCTGTCCAGAGCCAGAGCCAGGGTGGTGTGTGGGAGGCAGGAGGGGTTGGTTCAGGTTCCCAGGAGCTTTTTCTGTTTCAAATGCAGATGTCGTGGTTTGGGTCCAAACCAGCTCCCAAGGGCAGCATCCGGCCATCTATCTCAAACCCTCGGATACCATGGTCCTAGAGGGAACTACCCAAGGATGGAGCTCCATGGGTTGACACTTTTTCTGTGAAAAGAACACTGACACACCAGTCTGGGTGGGTTTTTAATCACTGTAACTGCAGTATTTTGTACAAGCGTCTAAACATTGTTTACAAGACTTAAGGCCCACTTCCCTGAAGGCTGACATGAACCTCAGGGGGTAGCTGATCCTGTGTCATTCTGGTCACCAAACAGGAGAGTCCTGGCACTACCCAGATTTCCACAGTGCTGCTAACATCCCAGCTTTGGCCAGCACCCCATCTGCACCTGAATCTTCTTTTAATGTTAGCACTTAAGCTGAAGCGACCAGCATCTGTGAAGCAGCAACTGGGTCATCATGTAGTGATGACGCTGGAGGTAGAGATGCCCTTTGAAATGGTGCCCAGCAGGCCACCCCACCAGCTTCTGCCAGGAGCAGCCAACTCAGTGGGGGTGGCTTTAAAAATTCAGATGAGTTAGAAGAGGCTTTTTATCCCTTCCTCTCAAGAAAATATTATTTCACCCTTTTTCTTAAACCACCTCAAACTTTAGATGTGTACATCTCTAAGGGCCAGTGTGGATTAATTGAAGAATATGCAACTTTCTGACAGTATCTCCACTTTACTTAAGAAAACTAGCAAATATATAAAAAGATCCTAAGTATAGTACCAAATACACTCAATTGCCTTTTTAATGAATGTACTTGTCTTGGATAGGTTGCTGGTAAACCATTTTAAAACTATTTTTTATAGCTAAAGTTCTTCACTATTATAAACATGTCTTCTGTATTATAAAATCCATTAACTGGTGTTCTTAAAGGAAAATCAGAGCATCAAGAGGAAATTATTTCTAAAATTGGAATTCCTGTCCCTTTGTAATTTCACTAGCCTTCTGTGGCATCTCTCTGAAGCAGTGGTGGCATTTCATGGCTTTGCTCTGGATTCTGTGTTGTACTACCACTGAACAAGTGCTAACCATATTTTTCCTACTTAAGGACAATCTGCTGTATTCATCGGAAGCAGCAGCTGTCCCTTCCCCCAGCCTTGACCAAAACATGGGAGGCAGTCCGCCTGGTGCGTGGAGCCACTCTCCCCCCCTCACCCTAACCCCAGATATTTAAGATGACACTACATTCATGGATTATGTCCAGACAGCCCCCAGCTGGCTGTAGTACTTGATGGCATGCACACGACTCTGGAAGCAACTGATAAAAACTTATATTCATTATTACTGAGGAAAAGGGAAGATGCTCCTTCTGGATAAGCCACAATAACAAATCTAAAGGGAAACTGTATTTATAGTTAGATGAAGGATTCACTGGTTAAATAAAAAACTGAATTAATAAGTGGAGCTCTTAAATTTATAAATTATCCAGTGATGTTTTCTCAATTATGGTTAGGGTCAAAAAAAATATCAAATATATCTCACAGAAAAATATTTGCAGAGTTACCCTATTGAATTCCCATGAAGTATCAAGTCAGGACAGCATCACCTTAGTCCCAACTCAGGCTCTCTGCCACCTGAACGAACCATTCTGCAGTGACCTACCTACCTCCTCACGTGGCTCTTCATTGCAGATGTCTGTCCCTTGTATAGAATGCTGTTTTCCATTTACCCAGTGGGAACATGAAACAGGAGTCCTTTCTGTTCTGCAATTTTGATGAGTAAGGAGGTAGCTTTTTTCAAAGTAGGATTTCCTCCTTTTCAACTGTTCCAGGAAAGAATCCCTAAGATTGGGTAGCTCAAGGCTTGCCAGAGGCAGCTGCATTTCCATGGAGCTGGGTCTGACTCGTCCATGGCTTCTCCAGCCCTTGAGCTGGTCTCAAGCTCCTGCCCACAACTGCCCTGGCAGTTTCAGGTGTAGCTGTGGGGCTGTTACTAAGTCCATACTCGCTTAGGGAGGATTCCTCCTGCATGTTGAATTTCCTTCAGCTTTAAGAGGAAGAGTGGAGTAAATATTCTAAGTGATTTAATGCACTTTTACTTGTATAAAACTTTCTGTGATACAGTATATATAGCCCTTTATATAAGCAATTGGGTCTTTACCTTTCCTTCAATGTTGTAAATAGGGATTATATTATCTAAAACTGCTGTAGAAAATTCATTTGTGGTGCAATACACTTTTTAATTAAAGCTCTTCAATCCAGATGCAATATAGTGGGTTTTACTTGATATAGTTTGATATGTTAGTATTTCTTTGACTTGTTAAATCTAGTATCTAGTACATTATGTCTTATATTTAATACTTCAAGGGCTAGAGAACATTTGTCTTTCAAAAAGAACCTCTCCAGAATGGGTTTGGGTGAATAAATATATATATTGGGAGCAGAGGGGATAGAGTCGCGCTCTATTACCTGGGCTGGATTGCAGTGGCATAATCATAGCTCATTCTAACCTCGAACTCCTGGGCTCAGGTGATCCTCCTGCCTCAGCCTCCTAAGTAGCTGGGACTACAGGCATGTGCCACCATGCCCAGCAGAGATGGGGTTTCAGTGTATGTAATTTAATGAAAACAATAGCCTAGTCCTACCTCCCAAGAATCACAGTGGTTCTGTAGAGGGATCGGGGATGGAGGATTGTGTCACTTTGGTCAATGTCTATATCTAAGGCCCATATGACCTGGAAGAGCTTCCGGAATATGAATGGGGTCCTTTTTTTTTTTTTTGAGAGTCTCACTCTGTTGCCTGGGCTAGAGTGTCGTGGCATCAGCCTAGCTCATAGCAACCTCAAACTCCTGGGCTCAAGCGATCCTTCTGCCTCAGCCTCCCGAGTAGCTGGGACTACATCCTGAGCCACCATGCCCAGCTAATTTTTTTCTATATATTTTTAGTTGGCCAATTAATTTCTTTCTATTTTTAGTAGACGGGATCTTACTCTTGCTCAGGCTGGTTTCAAACTCCTGACCTTGAGCGATCCTCCCAGGATTACAGGTGTGAGCCACCACACCCGGCTTATGAATGGGGTCCTTACCTTTAACAGAATGCAAGCTGCAGTTACATGCACTGAAAAGGAAAGAAAAGCATTTTTGCCCTTCAAAGTAGCTCACTGTTACTGGTAATAGGGAACCATATTTTGCTTTTATACATCTTTTGGCTGATTACTCCATTTCTAGCTTTTACTTCTTTAAAGAAAACCTGTCAATGCAGCAGAGTACTCCTGCAACACAGCCCACCTCACATCAGGAGATGGTGACCAGGCCCACCTGAGGTCCACCCTCAAAAGAGCCATGTGCAGTCACACAAACTGAAGACTTTTAAAGCCTTAATCAATTATTAAAATGTTTGCCACTTTATTAAATAAGCTCCAAAATTACATACAAATCAAGGGAGTAAGAAACAATAAATAGTTATTCAGCAAAACGCCTCTCAGTAGCAGCCAGCAGCACTGTGGCCAGGGCTCCCGTCTGCTGCGGCAGAGGCCTACAGATTGCCATGCTCGCTCCCCAGGGATGGCTAAACAGGGACGCACATCTACCTCCTCCACACCAAGTCTCTGGAACAGTCGGACTCTCATTCATTACCACCCCGTTCGTCACCATTTCTTACATACATGAAACACACCGCAATGTATATACTAATAAGCCAAGAGCTTTATTGATGCAGCAGGCACTTTACAATGAGCCCAAGAGTGTCCGCCTTCTCTGGGAAGACGGGGTGTCTGTACAAACTCTCGGGTTTTTCTTCCACTTCAAAAAAGAAAAAAACAAGCTCTCCCTTTTACCACAGCCCTTGGATCTGCACCTGCCCAAATCATCCCTCCCCCAGTGCACACAGGTACACCTGACCGACTCTGGCCAGCCATTCTGGTAAACAGTCAAAATGTCAGTTCTGCATTACTTGTAGACAAAGGCATAGACTATCAGAGCCTGCAAAGGATTTAGAAAACAGTAAGACAATTTCTCCCTCCACCTTGAAAATAAAATACATTTCAGCGGATACATGTCCTGAAATAGTTTAGTTGGGAGTTCCTAGGAAGACGGTCCATTGTCAGTCCCTTCTTCACCAGCCTGGGCATCCAAAGTTCTTCTCAAGGTAACATGAGTCTTTTTTTTTTTTTTTAAACAGTCTTTCTTGCTGTAAGAACTCTTATAATGGAGCCTAGTCCTCCTACTGCTAAGGCCTGTGGGGGCAGGAAAAGGAAACGTGTCAAATGAGACCTGGCTGGCCAAGGGGGAGCCTGGCTTGCCAGGGAGATGGGACTGGGCACCCCTTGACCTAGATCCCATCATGACCCTCTCAAGGAAGATGCCTGCAACAGACCATGTTCTAGGGAAGGAGAACTCCAGCTCTTGGGCAGCAGAACTGGCTTAAGAACACTGTCATCAAGCACACATGGCAGCCCTTCAAGTTCCCTTTTGACAGGCTCCTTTTTTTGTTTCCAGCCTACCCTAGGCAGCGGTGTGCCCAAGCCCACTGAGAGCTGCCTGCTGACACAGCTGGCACCAGGCACCAAGTCTCCTTAAAGGGACAAAAGGGCCTGGCCTCCACACCATGCAGAGGGCTTACTCAGCTCCCCTGAGCACCAGAGCACCCCTCACCTACTAAGCCCTGGCAGAGGGGAGACAGGAAGCACAGCACACTCACCAGCAAGACCAAAGGACACAACCACAGAACCACAGCCCAGCAGCTACTGCCTCAAGGGGCCACCCCACCCCACCCCCACCTCCCTGAAGGGAACCCCTCTCACAACTCAACACTGAGCTTCTTGGGAAGGACAGTGTGGAATAGCCTGGTCTCCTTTAATGGTGGGCGTGTGCTCACTATAGCACTGGGGTATGTGTGGGAGGGGGCCACAGTGGCACACAGGCTTGACAACAGGGCTTGCTCTTATACCATGAAGGGCAGACACAGCTTTTTCTATGTCACATGGATGAAGGCCACATTAAGTGACTCAAGGTTTCTGCCCACTGCCTCTTGACAGGGCAAGGCTGAGGCCAGGGCAGGAAGCCCTCACAGCTGGCTGGAGGGCTCAGCCTGCATTTCTAAGACCCCTCCAACTCCCTCTCCCCAGGAGCTGCCTCCACCAATGCAAAGAAAGTATCATGAAGCCCCCAGTCAACCAGCAACCTCCAACCTCCCTCCTACCTGGGACTCCCCATCTACCTTACCATGCATGCGTCTATCTTATCATGCCACATCACCTGCCCCCATGTCCTGTACACGAAGGGCACCCTGTCCTACCCACTATAAATCAGCAGTTCAAAAGCAAAAGGAACTTGCAATTACTAGAGACCTACCAGGTGCTTCCTTTGAAGAGGTAAGCGCTCAGATGTCCAAGGTTTAGGCTTGTCCCCTTATCTCATATGCCCATCAGACCATCCTATATTTGTTTTGGAAAATCTGGCATTGTTTTTTTTTTTTTTTTAACAGACAGGGTCTTGCTCTGTTGTTCAGGCTGGAGCACAGCAGCATCATGAAGGCTCACTGTGTCCTCCTACTACTGGGCTCAGGCAATCCTCTTACCTCAGCCTCCCTAGTAGCTGGGATTACAGGTGCATGCCACTACACCCAGTTAATTTTTTTTTTTTTTAATTTTTTGTAGAGATGGAGTCTTGCCATTGCCCAGGCTGGTTTAGAGCTCCTGGCCTCAAGCAATCCTCCCACCTGGCCTCCCCCTCCCAAAGTGCTAGGATTACACATGTCAGCCAATGTGCCCGGCCTGGCCTGCTGATTTGAACCCTGGGATAAGTCATTGGGCTGCCTGCAGGGGAAATGTGTTCACATACCTTTTCATGCCACTGGAGTAACACTGCGCTGCTATTTTCTGTGGGCTTCTCAAACCCTTTATAAATGTACTTCATTAACAAGTCAACGCCATTTCTGTCCAGTGACTGCACAGCCTGCTCAATTTCACTACTCTTGAAGTTTGTGAGCACTTTCAGCACCACACCCTGGGCTCGCTCCTACAGAGGAAAGAGAAAGGGAGTTAGGCCACAGTGGGCACCAGAACACCAAAGCGAGTGATCAGAACTCATCAGGAACACTGCCCAATATCTAATTCGTCTAGAATGGGCAAAATAAGTGGGCTAAAACTATACTTTAAATTTCAAAGTATCCCTTAATTATGCCAATAAGTTATTCCACTTATTTTAGGGGGAATAGTTTACTGTGGACAAGCATCACTATTTAGGACGACACCAACAAGGCCTTAGAGTCCACAGGATCACAGTAGTGAAGGTCTGTTTAAAAAAAATAAAATAAAAACAGGTTTGCGTGGCTGCAGCTTCTCTGTGTTCATACCTTGGAATAGAAGCCATTCCCCTCCACATCTGTAAAGGTGTAGCCTTCAGTTACATCAAGATGCTGTCACAAGATGCCACATAGCTTCCTAGCTGCAGGGAGACCCCTTTCCTTGGACCAAATTTTAGACAGCCTAACTGATCCAGTAAGGGGTATGTTTTCATTTGGTTTTTAAAAGGCAGGAAATCTTAAAGGCACTTAAAATCCTTATGCAGATAAAGCCTATTCAATAGCCTGTAAAAGCATAACCACTGATAGGTCTCTTATGGCAAGCTAATTTATCTGTTTTGCTAATCAGCAAGGGCTGGGCTGACTTCTCACCCCAGGAGGCCCCAGGGAGAAGTGAATGTTTCTTTGGGGAGCTTTTACTATAAACACAGAAAGCTTTGATGTCAGAGAAGCTTTAACATCTGGGGAGTGCCAGGAGACTTCCAATGGAAGCACTGCCCAGTGCCAACTCACTCCCACTGATGCAGAGACGGAAACACTAACGCTCCAGCTGGACAAACAGCCACAGCCCCCATCCCAACACCACCCAGCAGACCTGCAGCACGACCCTGTTTACCTTCACAGCTTGATTCTTGGTGTTGACGGGAGAGTTCCGCAAGGCTGCATGAAATGCCCGAAGCATGTCCCCTGTGCACACCACGAGTTAAGGAAGGCTAGGCGAAAGCATGGCCACCTTCTCATCAATGGATTATCTTTAAAAACAGCTCAGGAGAGCAGACTCAAATCGGATCTTACCCATACCACCCACCTTTCACCTCCAGCTTCTAGGGGGCATTGCCTGTTTATTGTCTGTAGCTTTCCTGAGCCACAGGAAGGGTGGAGGGCACCTCTACCAACACTACCAACCCCTCCTGCTTCCCCCTACACCTTGCCCCTCAAAGCAGCTGCACTGGAGGGGTAACTTG